CCAAGTATCCATTGAAATCGTTTCACCAATATTCTGTGCCCATTTAATCATACAATCTTTAACTAGTTCAAGTTCTGAATCTAATTCCACTAAAACCCCATAAACTCTCTTAATATGGGTTGGCCTTTGATCTCTTACTTGTTTTAAAAAAATTTCATCTTCTCTAAGCCAGCCCATTTTACAATCCATCTTCCATCTATCCACTATTTGTCTATATTGGAACCATGAATAAGTTAAGTTTTCATGTGTTAACTCTTCCAAAGATTTTAACTGCCAGTCTTGGCCATCCCATCTTAATAACTGTACGTAAGAGACCTTGTCCATATTTACCCCTTTCCTTATACCTTCTATGGCATGCCGAGGTATAGCCCATAATGGTATTTTGAAGTCACTTTTATAATACTTTCTCCACACTCTTAGCAAAGAGTTTCTTATAATATGAGACTTAAAAACCCAATCCACTTTTTTATTAAATATTAAATAGGCATGCCATCCAAAAAATAGGTCCCAGCCTTCCAAATGAAGTATTTCTGTATTTGTTAAATTCACCCAGTCGCTAATCAATGTCAATACTACAGCATCATAATACAATTTCATATTTGGTACCTTGAGTCCACCTCTCTCACGAAAATCTTGCATTATTTTAAGTTTCACCCTTGGTTTTTTCCCTGCCCAAACAAATTTATTAATACCTTTTTGCCATTCATCTAAATTACGTTCGTTCTTTAAGATAGGTAACATTTGAACAAAAAAATAAACTTTGGCAGGACATTCATTTTAATAACTGCAATTCTGCCCATAAGGGATAACTGTAAATTATTCCAGTTTTTTAAATCCTTCTGTACCTCCATCCACAGCTTTTCATAATTATTTTTATACAATTTTACATTAGAAGCAGATAATGTAACCCCCAAATATTTTACCTTATCAACAATTTCAAAGTCTGTTAAGTTAACTAGAGCCTGTTTATCACCATTAGTCATGTTTTTAGCTAATATTTTGGTCTTATTATTATTAATTTTAAAGCCAGAAACACGTCCATATTGTTGAATCAATTGTAATAATTTCACCACCGAAGAAACAGGTTGAGACAAAGTAACAACCAAGTCATCTGCAAAGGCTCTTAATTTATATTCTTTTTTATTAATTTCTATTCCTTTTATTTCTTGAGACTCCCGAATTTTAATCAACAAAATTTCCAGTGTTAAAACAAACAATAACGGAGACAACGGGCATCCCTGTCTTGTTCCTTTTTCTATTACAAAAGCCTCTGACAAACCCCCATTTACAATAATTTGAGCAGTCTGTTTTTGATATATATTGGATAATACTTGTAATATATTTTGTCCAAAATTCATCTCCTTGATTAAACACAGCATAAACTGCCAATTCACTTGATCAAAGGCTTTTTCAGCATCCAAAAATATCAGGCCTGCAGAGACTTGGTTATTCTTTTCTAAATACTCTAATAAATTAATAATTTGTCTAACGTTATTCTTCATATACCTTCCAGTTATAAAACCCGATTGATCCCTATGTATAAACTGCTGCAAGATCCCCATAAGCCTGTTAGCTAAAATTTTTGCAAAAATTTTGTAATCCACATTTAAAAGAGATATAGGCCTATAATTTTTAGGCAAAGTAAGATCTTGACTATCTTTTGGAATCAATGATATAAATGCATTACGCCAGGATGGAGGGATCTCTAACCCCTGTAATAAATTATTAAACAGTTCACACAACGGTTGAGTCATCTCTTCTACTAAAGCTTTATAATAAATAGATGTCAACCCATCCGTACCCGGCGCTTTGCCCAATTTCAATTGTTTAATAGCTGTAACAATTTCTTCCTTAGTAATTAAACCATTAATCTTTTTTTCCTGATCTTCTGTTAATTTAGGAAAGTTAACTTTGCCTAAATAATTATTTATATCTGTAATTTGAATATTAGTACCCTTATATAATTTTTGATAGTATTCTAAAAAAGATTTCTTAATCAATTCTTTCTGATAAACCAATTTACCATTATAATTTATTTTATCTATATTCCTCTGTTTCTGTTTTTTTCTTAACTGATAAGCCAACCATCTCCCTGGTTTATTAGCATTACAAAATGTATTTTGTTTCATAAATAACAAATTAGTTGCAGCTTGATCAGCCATCAGCATGTTAAATTGTGTTTTTAACAATTTTAAAGCTCCTTTAACCTTTTCATCTAAGGGATTTGAAATTAAAAGTTTCTCTTTTAATTTAATCTCCTCTTCCAAGTCTTTCCGTTTCTGAGTCTGTTTCTGTCTATGCAAATTATTCATTTTTATCAAAATACCACGCATAAAAGCTTTACTTGCATCCCAGACCATTGACATTGATGTTCCCTTGTTCATATTTAAAGTAAAATATTCCTTTAAACATTCCTTTAATTTATGAACATTTTTTTCTTGTTTAAATAAATTCTCATTCACCCTCCAGGATCTCCTATCTTCCTTCTCTACAAACAGTTCCATCCAAACTGGACTATGATCGGACAATGTCCTAGGAAAAATTTTTACATTCTTCACCCTGTTGTATAAATCTGTTGTGATCAAAAAGAAATCAATTCTTGAGAAAGATTGGTGTCTATCTGAGAAAAACGTAAAATCCTTTTCTTCTTGATTACGTTCACGCCAATAGTCTCTCAATTCCCAATCTTCTTTCATATCAAAAAAGGCTTTAGGTAATTTAGCCTGTTTAAAAAAGGTAGAAGAGCCTTTTTTGTCCATTTGTATATCTAAGACACCATTCCAGTCTCCCATTAAAATCACAGATCTATAGTCCAACAAAGTTATTTTCTGATGTAGTAACCTATAAAATTGCTCCTGTTGCTGGTTTGGTGCATACAACCCCACAATAAGAATTTTCTTGCCATATAAACCAAGTTCAAGCATAACATATCTTCCGTAAGGATCTGATTCTAACAAGGTAGCGGATAGATTCTGTTTAACATAGATTACCACACCCCCTTTCTTCCCAGGGGCGGGAGATACAAAATGAGATCCCAAGCGAGGATTATTTAAATATTTTTGATCTTTAGCTGTAATATGAGTTTCTTGCAAGCAAATAATATCATTGTTATGTTGTTTCAAATAGTGGTAAATTTTTTTTCTCTTTTGAGGAATGTTTAATCCATTAACATTCCAGGACAGGAGCTTTGCCATCTCCCTTGGCCTTCAGCCTGGAGAAGATCCGCTCAAATTCTGCTGCTGATGAATATGTAGCAGAGCTTTTGGGTCTTGCTCCTCCCACCGGCACTGAAGCAATTTGCTGAGTAGATTCTTCAATTTCTTTTTCTTTTTCTTTTTTCTGTTGTTCTTTTTCTTTACGTTTATGTGCTGCACGGGTCATTCTCTGTTCTTTAACCTCTGGTTGAGACATCCATACCACCTGTCCAGCAGTCATCATCCCTGTACCTTCAGATTTCTGTTCCATCTCTTTGTCACTCAAGACTTTATGCATCATGGGCAAAGGAGAGCCTGCTCCCAGGACCGTTTTATAAAATTCCTTAGCTTTAGCAACTGTATTAAGTCTATAACGTGTCCCCGCATGGCTCAAAACAATGCCCATCGGAATCTCCCATCTAAATGGCATTTGTCTTGCTTTAAGTTCATTTACTAAAAAAGCAAAATCTTTTCTGCTTCTTAAAATTTTAGGTGGAATTTCCTTTAAAATAATAATATCTTGGGCAGCAATCTGAAATCTTTTATTATAAAAAGTTTGTAGAATCTGATTTCGCAAAGACTTCTTAGCAAAATATATCACCACATCTCTAGGCAAATTCCTCTGTTTTGCAATCCAAGAATTAACTCTATAAATTCTTTCCACATCCCCACGTAACTCTTCTTTATCAATATTCAAAATAACAGCCAAGTCATTAATCACCATTTCCATCAAATCTTGAGTTTTATCTTCTTTCAGACCCCTTATTCTCAAAGCATATTCCATCTGTCTATACTGGAACATAAGAATATCATCTTGTGAAGTCTCCACTTTTTTCTCCATATCTTGAAATTTATAATCCAAAAGTTCAACTGTTTCTTCAATTTCCTCTACTCTGGAGTCCAGCTTCACAACCACTGAGGCCATTCCAGATAGAGCTAGAAGTATATCATCCCTCAAAATAGCATTATTCTGTTCTAAAAGCTCCTTCATCTCTTTCTTCATTTCCTCCTTAGTTTCAGATTTATTCTGGTCCAAAAGTTGTTTCATTTCCTCCCTAAACTGTGAGACAGCACTTACCATTATTTCTTTAATGTCTTGTGCTGATGTGCCAGATGGGGGAGGTGAAGGTGGAGTGGATTTAGGTTGCTGCACTGAGGGTATTATTTTAAGTTGTTGTTGCACAGTAGAAGTAGCAGGAGAAGAAGTTACTTTAGAAGCTGCAGTAGCTGGTTGTCGTTTTGAAGCCATTTTAATTTATCTTCCTTTCTTCTTAAAAATACCGATAAAAATAAGTAATCCAAAAAAAAATTAAAAATAAGATAAAATAAAATAAAATAAGATCAATCTAAAAGTCCCCAAGAATAAAAAAGTAAAAAAAGTAAAAAAAAAGCAGTATTAAACAACAATTCAGCCGATCCGTCTTTTAAAGGAAAAAAAACTTTCAAAACGCCATTTTACTTTCACTCTCACTTTTCCGCCCGAAAAAAAAGAGAAAGCTCAAAAAAATAAAAAAAAATCAGCAGATACTAAATAAACTAAATAAACTAAAAAAAAATAAAATAAAGCTAAACTATAAATAAAATCCTTTAAACAGTTCTGTCCGGTTTAAGATTACTCACGGTTTCTTTAAGTACGGAGATGGTAGCGGCGTCTCGCTTTGTTTCCGAAGAAACAAAGACAGCTGAGAGGCGGAGAAGGCAATGAACTCCGAGGGAACCCTCTTTCTACCCCCCTAAAAATAAAAATCCAGGGAGAGTTAAGAGGTTCTACCTCTATTCATGCGATCTCTACCCCTTCCCTTCGCCCGGGAAGGGGATTGCGAGCCGCGGGCCAGCTGGTAAACGCTGTGCTCCGCGGATCTGACACCTTCTCAGGAGGACGGCTACAAAGTAGCCGCCATCTCCACCGCTTTAACCACCGGAAGTCGCCAGTATACTAATCTTAACGTAGATTGCTGAACTTGGTTTTCAACAGCTGAAATGTTTTTTAAATCACAAGTTTAATTGGATTTGAAGTTTATGCCTGATTTATATAGAATATTATGTCAGATGTGGATAATGATGATAGTTGGATTTGCAAAGGCTAACATAAAACAAATCACACAAGCACATTACAAAATAATATGATGGGTGAACTCACTCTAACTCACTCTAGAACCTATTTGCCTCTTCTGTGATGACTGCTTTTAGTTAGCTGTCAGATGCAAGATGTCAGCAGGAGGAAATAAATTTTAAACTTCCCTTATCGGATTCTCATTTTTATTGAGTCAATGAATCAACTATTGTTCTCTTATCCTTTCTTCCTGTCTCAGCTGCAGAAGAAACTTTGGTTGAATGTATCTTAGGAACAGTAAAAAAAAACTTTCTCAGCCTATGGTTAAATGTATATATTTTGTATTGAACCTAAATTCAAAGCTCAAGATTCAGAACACAAAATATCAGTAACAAACAGTAGGGAAAAAAGTCAGCTGAATAATTTACAGTTTGCAAATTTGAGCCTTTTTTATATGGAATTTGACATTTCATTGAACAGAATATTGTTAATACATGATCCTAAAGAATGTTTGTGTGTGTGTGTGTATTTGAATGTTGTTGGATATCAAACTCATGTGGGGTCAAATGCAAAGCAACATGGCACTTAGTCTACAGAATTTACTAGCACCTAAACTTTAATATTGTACCCAAGGGTTACTGCAAAAAGTTGGATGTTATTCTGCTATATAATCAGATGATCAAGTTGTTAATACTATGTTCAACTGATGACACAGGTTTATCACAAATGAAAAAGGAAATTGCACACTGCCAGTTTGTGACACTTTTCCTCATATATATTAACCTTCCATTATGATAATTCTGAACCGCTGTCTGAATATGGAAATGAATGGGCATGTGCTGTTGGTTACAGGACTTCATCAATTCCAAAGCCACCTTTTGAATGAAACAGTATTGAATAGTATCCAAGAGCTAAGCTATGAAGCAGGAAATTCAAATCTTTTATTTATTATAAACATTCTAGACTTAGTATAAATCACTAGTGCAGAAAGGCTAGAGCATTAGATTGGTCTTCTCTCGGGGACCAATGGACTTGGATGGGTTCCAGAAGGATCTGGAGGTTGTTCCTACTGTTCCTACTGTTCTGTATGGCCATCCAAAGTTTTGATGGCCACTTGGAATAAGCTGAGGCTTTGGATTGGATCACGCCCATACAACCTTTATCCTCTCAAAGAACCCTGCACTGTTCATGGTTTAAGGAAGAGCTAAGAGAGAAGAGCTGAGAGAAATGAGAGAAGAGACATGTGGTGCTTGATGAGTGATAAAATTGACAGAATGTGAGTTAAAGCTGCTATTAAAACCTACCTGGTGGCAATGAGGAGGGCGAACATCATTATTCCTCCGCTCTTATCGTAAATAGATGCTTGGTGGCCATATTTTGGTGACAGGAATGTCCCTGCATAAGGATGGCTTGGAGAACCTTTTGCAGGGCTGTGTGGAGGAATTTTCCCAGCCTCCATCAAATAAAATCACTCAGATGTGTTCTTAGTTTGACTCTGGCTTTGTTTCAAATTTGATGAAGATGCCTAGGGAAGACTCTAGCCCTGCTATCTAAGAATGGTTTGAACCTCTAGGATCACTGAAAGGGGACAGGGTCCTTTGGGCTGTGAGTTGGCCACCTACTCTTTAGATCCATGCCCCCTCCTTTCTGGTGAAAGTGGCATGGGAGGGCATTCTAGCGATGGATAGTGCTTGAGTGATGGGATTATTCCTTCACTTCTTATGGAGGCTTTGGTTCACTCCCTCTTTAAGAAGCCATTGCTAGATCCTTCTATACTGGACAATTTTTAAACAGAGCAGCTTAAGAGGGCCTTGGATGAAGCAGATTTCAATCAAGATTTGAGTAGCATGGTGTTGTGCTACTTTGCCTCCTTTTTCAGGCCAATTTCAGTTGGCAGTGATTGGTGAGGAGAGATCCTGTTTTCAGACTCTGCTATGTGGTGGTGTTGTAAGGTTTGATATTCTTCCCCCTCCTATTTAACATTGAAATGAGGCTGCTAGGTGAGCTCATCCATTGCCATGGGATGAAGTATCAGTGTGCAGATAATACCCAATTGCACCTCTGTCACCCCTTACAATATCTCTGCCTGGTGAATTAATTGATGTTATGAGTACCTTATCTCAGTGTCGGGAGGCTGTGAGGGTCTGGATGGAGAACAATAGGCTCCAGCTGAACCCTAGTAAGACTGAGTGGCTCTGGCTTTTGGCACCTTCTGGTTCTAGTACTATGCTATCTTTGATGCTGGACAGGGTGGCAATGGCCCAGACAGACCCTGTTTGCAATCTGGGGGTCTTCCTGGACTTAGGACTTCTGCTAAAAGAGCAAGTGGGCATTGAGTTTAGGAGGCCCTTTGCACAGCTTCATGTCGTGCACGAGTTGTGCCCATTCCTAGATTGAGACATCTGCTCACTGTTAACTCATGCTTTAGTCACCTCTTTTTTGGATTTCCGTAATGCACTCTACATGGGACTGTCCTTGAAGAGTATCCAGAAGCTTTAACTGATTCAAAATGAAGCAGTGCAGACAGTCATGTTTGCCCCCTGAGCGGTACATGTTAATATCTCTGGTTCACAAGCAGCATTGGTTGCTAGTCTGCTGCTGAGTCCAATTCAAGGTGCTGTTTTTGATCTTTAAAGACCTTCATGGCATGGGGCCGGGCTATGTGTGGGACTACCTCTCCCCAATTAACCTGACTGGCCCATCAGGTCTGGCAGAGGAAGCATGCTGCAGGTCCCCTCTGCGAGGGAATTACATCTGGGGGACTCCCAGAAGGTAGGGTTTCTCTGCCAGACCTGTGGAATCTTTTCCCCATGGAAGTGAAATTAGCTCCATCCCTCTCAACTTTCTACAACTCCCTCAAGACCTGGCTATGTTATCAAACCTAGAGGTCCTAGGGGACTGGGAAGATTTCTGATGCCTCCCTTACTGTGATTAATATCATCCTCTCCTGTTTTGTGTATCTTTTTAATAGTTATTTTTAATTGTGACTGTTTTATGTATTTTTTAATTAAGTACTATGTGCTACCCAGAGTTATTTTCATGTGAGTATACAGTACAAATATAAATAAATGAATGTCGTGTTTCTGTTATCTTCAGGTTCATTGGTCAGAGGTTCTGGGCCTGTAACTCAGACTAGAAGAAAAAAAATGAAGTGGACTCACTATGGACACCAGTTAAGGGCTTTTTCAATGGCAGCTAAGCTGCTGACAGGTAGTCCTGATGCAGATGACCATTGTTTGCAATTCATTTTGAGTCACTCACATCTGCTCAGAATGACACACTACATTCCTTTCACATCCTGTCCATTTTATGGGGGCACCGCCGATCAGAGTTTATAAGATCAGTGGCAAATGCTATAACCACAGGAAGTAGACAAGAAGACAATCTAATAGGTCTAACTAGATGGGTCCAGGAAGTAGTCATTGCTCCTTTCAGTGAGAGAGATAGGCTACCAGCTTGAAGGAGGCAGACTCCGTCCTTGAACTCTGGAGCTTTGAATAATTATTACACAGTTGCAAATCTTCCTTTCCTAGGCAAGATGTTTTAAACAGTACTGAGCATTTAGCTGCAAGCATGCTTGAAAGAAGCCAGTTAGCTAGAATATTTTTACCCTGTCTTTTCCCTGAATATAGTTCTCTTTTTGCTGGGACAGAGATATGAAGAATGCTACTATGAAAGTTTTTCTGGATCTCTGAACAGCCTTTGATATTACTGATCACTAGATATTGAAGGAGCATCTGCATGGACTGAGAATTGGAAGCATAACATTACAAAACTCTATTCCTAACTGTGAAACCATTACAATAAAGTACAGTAGTAGCAAGAGATTTCTGTTCAGTCCCAAGCTTCTTGAATTGGTAGGGCATGCTCCTTAATAAAATACAAAACACTTCCTGAATATCTGATTCTGAAAACCATGTATCCATAGTCCTTCCATCTTATCTACAGTAGGTTAAGTTCAGGTTGTTGGTTTCATCTAGTGCCACCTCAAGGCAACTATTGAGCACATGATCCTGATTCAGGTGGAAAAGAGTATCATGGGTATAATGACACTGTACATCAAGTTTCCAGCTGACCATTCTTGGTGACTTTAGTGACTCTTTTAACATATCTGGTTGTTTATTTAAGATTGTTGTTATTATTCTCTTTTAACCCTCCTGCACTTTGTGAGGGGGATTGGAATTGAACAGCAAGAACAACATGTTGACTTGTCTACAGTTCTCAGTTCCCCACAACTGGCCTAATCATTTTGATAGCTGAGGGAATGGACAAAACAGCACTCTTCCCCGTTCATATACAGAAGCTGACCAGAAGCAATTCAACCATGTTTCAGTGTACACAATGGGAGAGCTTCTAGCACCACACTTGCTGATAGCAAGCCATTTTAATGGATGCAGGGAAATTACAGGGATCTGCCATCTGATCAATCTGCCTCTGATATTTATCTCATTTCCCTCACAGCTTCTATTGCCTGATACAGTCATCTCATTCAGCTGCATGGTAGGCCCTACCCTGATAATAGTATTTTCCTACTTTTCAGAACTGTAATAAGGATTACAGAGATAGCACCCATTAAAGTTTTTCTAACAGCCCAAAAAGCTCAACTCGGCTTCTAAAGTACAGTATATGATTTCATGCATCCTTCCGTTCTCTGTCTGAGAGAATGCCTTTCCGAGCCATCTCCTCTAGGGCCTCAATGCCATCAGGTCAGCATCACCAGCCACATCACTGGGATTAGAGAGCCAAAAGTGACGATAATTCTCTTCCACAAGCAGCAGCTCCCAAGCCACCCATAACCCCAATTCCCTGCTGAGATAACAAGCCCCTTTTAAACAGCCAGGCCTTTTCTTTATTGCTTCCCCTATCAGATTACAGGCACGCTGTAAATCTGTGTGTTGAGGAGAAAGGATGCTATTTTTAGAAGCCCGTTTCTAAAAATAGTTCAGAGATGTTTACAATTGCGTCACAAGAGGTAATTTTATCCCCTGTTTGGCCCCATAGCCCCCCTTTTCTCACCCCCTCCTCCAGAGGGGGTCATTATAAAAGAAGGAGAGTCAGAGGATGTCGGGTCAGCAAGTTCAGACCCAGCCAGACAGCAAAGAGGTAAGAGATTCTTGGGCTGAAGACGGTGGTGATGGTGGTGGACACACCTTAACCTTAAAAAATAAGGGTTTATCTATTATGGGTGAGTAATTTACATCATTATTATTTCAAAAGCCAAGAACTGTAAGAAATCCAACTACTTTAGGTGTTGGTTTTCTTGGCTCTTAATAACAGGATTTAGCCAGGGGATGGCAATCATTCTACCTTCTACCCTAACTCAGAGATGGAGTCGGTAGCTCCAAAGCAATTCTGTCTCAGCAGGTCCACCCAGTGGCCAGCAGAAAAATTGAAATGATAGGGTTCGTTACCTATGGTAGCACCTTGGAAGGAAGGCCATAATTTGAATCCAATGACCACCAAGTCATGGAAGGAATAGACATTGCCTTCCTATTTATGCATCAGGATGGGGATTTGGCTGAATCAACACAAACTATCACTTGGGTGGGCCAGACTGCTGATACTGTGGGAAATTTTTTGGGCCACAGTTAATTTTTGAAGTGGGAAATTATGGGGCTTAAGTGTGTCAGGAAGTAACATCTTTTGTTTTTTTTCCTAATCACAGATAGGCTGTGATTAGATCACTTAAATGTAATGATGCTCTTTATTACCTCTTCAAATGTTGTAGAGCTAGCTTTTGGATTAAAAGCAATTGTACTGCTAAGCCACGGCATAGATTAATGCTGCTCTTGAATGGTGGATTGTTTCAGAAATAGGTACTCCCTTTACCTAGGATTTCCACATATATTTCTTATAAGAAAAACACTTTTCCACACCTCTCAGGAGTTTAGTGTCCTTTCCCAAACTCCCAAAGTAGCCCCTTGTTTTTGAATTTTGGTGTAAGATTCTGAAGTATGAATCTGATTGAAGCTCCCACCCACCCCAACTTACCTAAAACATCTAGGCAGAAAGAATCTTAGAAATATGACAATTGCTTATTCCCTAAGAGATTGATACTCACTAACTGGCTACTGAAAATGTAGTATTGGTATCAACACAATATTATAATAACTTGAAATTAATTAGAAAAACAGTAACTATGCTGAAAAAAAATGTCAATCAATAGAGAAGAATTATACAGAAACTTTATATTAGATCCCCAAAACAGTAAGGCACAAAGGCCAAACAAGACATAATGCTAAAACAACCCTTGGGAAGTTATATTTAATGTTTATATAGCTGATTGTAGCGTGTACTAAAATTACAGTTTAACATGCTCCTGTTTGGGTATGAATCTTTTTTATAATTGTCCATTCCTTTATCTTGATGGGTTTTCTATCCATCTTCCCTCCCACATCAGCATGCCCCAAATCAATGGTGCATTTCTCTAAAGCAGGAATAGAGATATTTTATGTATAAATAGAGACTGGGTTTTCAATTAGCTAAGGACAGGAGAGGAGAAATATCCACTAGACAGACAGACAGAAAGACAGACACAGACACACGTTACAAATACTGCTCACCTGCTGCTGGCATTTATTTCTCAAGGGATAGGGATTTCATTGATAACAATGAGCATTGCACCTTCAGTAGTTTTAATAATAGCTATAATATTTATTTGTAGTGTGCACTTTTCAACAAGATACATAACAGCAACCCATTCAAAGACAATTAAAATACGAGAATGCCAACAGCAACCAATAAGTACAAATCATTGCACAGTACAATTACAAAAGGATAACAGCATTACAATTGCCAAAACAACAAAACCAGTTAAACATGACATCTCATAACTTTTCAAAACTACTAATAAAAAAGCTGAAATAAAGAATCTAAGTGGAGTAATTTTACAAGAAGCTTTATTAACCTGTTGTGTTGAGATTGTAATGTCTGGATTCACCTCCAGTATGTCAAGCTGAAAATTTTCTGGTAGTAATTTCAATACACTTACGAGACAACAGGGTGGAGAAGGCTCACCCAATCTCTAAATACTTAAATCTAGCAGGATTTATAACCGATAATTTGGACTTACCATAGGGGAAATTAAATGAAGATGAAATAGTATATTCAATTTGAATTAGTTGTATATGAAGCTAAAATTTTCTCCTGACATGGTTCCGAGTAAGAGGAGTATATTTAACTAATAATTTGGAGAGCATCTGTCCATCACAATAGGTGATTTACTGTTTATATTCTTCTTGACTACAAAACTGTTCCCACTCAAGCTGATTTAAATTCTGCTTATTATCCCTTTCAATTTTCATCATACTAGCAAAAAGTTTCTCTCTATTAAGGGGGACCTAGGAGAAGCATACTAACAATGACGTTGCCTGGGTGTAGAGGTCAACCCAGTATACTAGAGAATCTGCAATCTGTAGGGCTTCTTTGTGTGAATCAAAATCCTAGAAAATCAGGGTCTTTATAACACTGGAAGTCCTTCACTCTTCTACATGTTTTGAGCAAAGCAGGGGTTGGGGGTGGACAGCTACCACCTGTTCTGCTTAAGTCTACTGTTGCTGATTTTCCAAATACTTGGGGTGTGTGCAGAATAACAATAATAGAGTTGAAAGGGACCTTGGAGGTCTTTTAATCCAACCCTCTGCTCAAACAGGAAATTCTATACCATTTCAGACAAATAGCTGTCCAATCTCTTCTTAAAAACCTCCAGTGTTGGAGCATTCACAACTTCTGGAGGCAGGTTGTTCCATTGATTAATTGTTCTAATTGTTAAGAAAATTCCCTTAGTTCTAGATTAGTTCTTTCATTGATTAGTTTCCATCCATTGCTTCTTGTCCTGCTTCCAGGTGTTTTGGAGAATAGGTTGATCCCCTCTTCTTTATGGCAACTCCTTAGAAATTGCAATATTACTATTATGTCACCCATAGCCCTTCTTTTTATTAAACTAGACATATCCATTTCCTGCAACCATTCTTCATATGTTTAGCCTCCAGTCCCTTAATCATCTTCGTTGCTTTTCTCTGCACTCTTTTGCAAAGCAACTTTTTATCATCTTTTCAGAACAGCTTGATGGATAATCTTTGTTAATCTGGCACCACCCAGATGTGTTAAACTACAGCTGCAATACTCCCTAACTAGTGGTCATACCAATGGATGGGTGAGAGGAGGATTGCAAATTAGGGGAGGCTTGGCACTTGAGTGCATACATAATTTGAAATGCTATTCCAGGCTTGAGGATTGTGGCTTCCTTTTGGGCAGTCTGTTTAATTCTCATTTGCTTCAATAATTTCTGTCCTTTTGCAGAACTATGACCATCTTGTGTGAAAACTGCAACAAGCCAGTCAGAAGGCGAGAACACCAGGTCTCTGCTCCTATATCTGTTCCCAGGCGGAAGCTCTGTACTCCAAGGCCTTTCAGGTCAGTGAGATGATCTTGCAATCCTTTCTTCCCACTGGGAAGAAGAGGGGAGTGATGCTTGTCGCAGGATCCCAACAGTGTTCAATTATTATGTTTTGGACACGATGAAATAGTATGAACACAGTGAATCTTGGTGCCATTGCAATATACTGTTTCTAAGGCCCATACTATTAGTTGGTTCAAAACAGAGTTGCTGTGTTGCTAAGTAGATAAACACATCCATTTTTTCTGGGACCAATTTACTCAGAGAACTGTCTTTTTATCTATCTCTTAAAATCATCTTCAGAAGCCCTACTCTTCAGTGTTTCTATTACTCCTCTTAATTAGAAGAGGGTGAGTTTTCCAATTCAGGATATCCTGCTATAACCTGTTTCCTCAAAAGCCACTTCTTGATCCTTTTAGCAGTCCACAATCAGAATACAAGGGTAGTAGTTTTCTCTTGCTTTGCTTCCTTGCAACTGGGAATCAGACATGGGTGGTATCATTACTTTTGGAGAACCAAGAATTTTGAATATTGCAGAATTAACACAAGCAAAGAATTAGTCTCTGGAAATTAACACGCAGACTGCCTGGACATGCATCAATACTTTTTCATTAAGACTAGTCAGGTTCCTAGAACAGGGATGTCAAACTGCCAACCGGTGGGCCGGTTGCATCATGCAGAGGCCATGCTCACCCCAGCTCCGGCAATCAAAAAAAGTTGTGATATGTCACAACATGTCACGTGACGCAGCGAGTTTGACACCCATGTCCTAGAGGATCAACAACCTCTTCAAACAACTAAAATTATTTAGGGCTTTAAAGAGCAACTTTTTGTAAAATGAGCATTAGCAATCAGTGCAACTGAAGGAGAAATGAGACCAGAATTACTGCATCTTGAAGTGTATCATGCTGCATTAACTGTAATTTCTGGGATCTTTTTAAAGCGTGTTTTCTATCTGACAGCAGTGTAATAATCTAATCTGGTTTACAGAAAATAGATATACATTTCCAGATAGCAAACACTGTTATAAAGCAGGCATTCTGATCTCTGTGAGGAAAACAGAATTCTGATGGTAAAAGGAAGGCAAAGTAGACTTCACCAATCCTGCATGTATCACATAAATCAAAGTATTTTTTGCTTATTTGATCTAATATTTTGTTATATGCAGATGTATGGAAGTGTAATAGCTTAGCCAATCAGCTAAGAGGCTAAGGTGCAGCCTTGACAATAAGTCTCACTAAAAGCAGCAGGACCTGCTTCAAAGTAAACCTTTATAGGATTGTGGTACATTAAGATTCTGTTTTCTAAACCAGCACTCTGTTGTTGCTAGGATTTCTTCAGGGGCCAGATTTTTATGCCCACTAATAAACACTGATCATAGCAGCTTTATAGGATTAGCACAGCTGTTCCCAAGCCCCTGCAAATCAATTGCTTCCTCTTCTGATAGACAGAGGCATGTGAAGCACTGAATGCCAGACGAAGAACAGTGACTCAGCTATAATGGCTTCACTTTTTAGGACAATGTTACTCAACCTGGTGACTTTAAGATATGTAGACGTCAACTCCCAGAATTTCCCACCCATGAAACTGACAGAATACAGTTGCTTTATAAGCTTTGGGCTGTCATGGGAGTAGGTTATGGGCTGAAGTAGGTAGTGCAGAAGCAAAAACATGAGACTGGTCAGACCTCTAGTGATTACTAAAGGGAATATCGTCAAAGTCAAAAGTTAACTAGTTAATTGGAATTGAGTTTTGATTACTGTATTAGCATAATCATTATACCTAATGATAAGAGTAGTCCTGAAGTAATAGTTGAAATTATCTTACTTTAGTTAATCACAGTCAAACTGTAAATCAGAATTGAATCAGCATGCTAAGCATTTTCATACATATCTGCCAAATAAATGGCCAGTGCTAGCTGAGGAGGGGGTTAGGGAATACAAAATTTAGAATGGGATCAAAATGTTGGAACGTATCCATAATCATCAATGACTTTTAAAGTACCTCAAATACAAGAAGTTCTGGATACCCATGACAGAGCAGAGGCATTTGCTTTCAGGCTTATGATAATAATAATTTGCAGTGTGACCCAGGCCCAGCAAGGACTTGGATTAATTTAGTGGTGCACAATGGCTTAAGTACAGCTGGACTTAGGCTCCCCACATTTTTTTTTAACAACAACAACAAAAAAAAGCTAGCTGTAAAGCTGAGCTTACTAAGCCTTACAAGTTCTTTTGATACTTTAAGTTCTTTGCCTCCAATTCCTTACACAAATTAATGGCTGCATGATGGTTGTCATGGGAACATAAGCTACAATGGTGTGTTGCATACTGAATTTTCCCACTGAGTGGCCCGTTTTAGATAACACCAAATCCTCTCAAATAAGTCTGCTCCTTTTCTTGTTTCCCAAATTCTTTGCTGCTGTTGTTTCTTTATTGATCACCATTTTCTAAGGTTTTTTTAAAGTATTCCCTTACAAAGAGAATTTGCAGAGAAAGTAATGAATATTTGGCTTTCTGAAAATCCAGTGCTAGCTTACACCTGGAGGAATGTTTCCTCAACTGAATTGGCGATAACTAGACAATAAGAGGCAGACACTTTTAGCTTTCATGTAGATAAAAGGTAGGTAGCAGATGGTGCCCTTTTTCTGAGCCCTGTGTGAAAGCTGCAAATTCTCCTGCTCATTCATGAAAAGCTTGGGATTCCTTTTGTCCTCCTTTGTGCCTCATTCCCTCTTCACTCCTTTCACATCAGCTGCCATGCTGCAGTTTCCAGCTTGACCAGTTTTCCAGCTTTCAGATATAGTGGAGCAAATGATCACCAAGAAAATCCTATAGCGCTCACTGCCTTGATTCCTAATTTACTAACATCTCAGTAACACCAGGCAAATTGCCTGACTTCATGCATCACACAAAGCCAAATATATATTTATTGTAGCTCACTGTATGACAAGAATGCCCTGGCAACATTTTGGACTTGGTTTTTTTTGCTTCTCTTAAAGCTGCACTTTAGCCACCCTTCAGCCCCCAAGGTGCTGGTTTACTGCAAGCTATTAAAATAGAGCTACTTTGAAGAGCCTTTGAGACACGAATGTCATCAGTTTATAGATCTGTGTGAGTAAGGGTTGATTTACTTGATTTTTTGTTTTTATTTTATTTTGTTTTGCTGCATAGTGATGGATATATTGTAAACCTCTGAGGATATTTCTATTTGCAGCAGGTATAAATCCAATAATAATAAATGCTGCCTTTATGTCAGGCACAGCCTGTGTGAGACAGTCCTGTGTCATTCTTTGTTGTGCTGTTGTTAAAGTAGCATTTTCTCCTTTATCCTTCAATTCCTTGTGGACTGCCTCAAGATGTACGTCTGTTGGCATTTGCAGTCATTACTTGGAATGAAGTCAGATGGCTACAACAAGAAACCAACATTGGGTGAATAGATGGAATAACTAGATAACAGAGTAGAATAGATCCCTCCGGTAGATGGAGTGAAGTCAATGACTATAAGAAAGCCAAACTAGGTGGGATAGGGATCAGTAATGGGACAGAAAAATTCATGCTGGTATAGTTTTCTGCAGTCTCAAGGATGGGAGGAAATCAATTCAAACCTCTTATTCTCTTTCTTCTGTTGAACTCATCTTCATCTGCTCTTCCCTACACTAAGCTGGAACTCAGAATGACTGAATGGCTTGTTAGCTGTGTCCACATTATGTGCTTGAACCATAAATCAGGCAATGAATTCAATGCACAAAACCCTGAGAACTGAGCAAATTGAGCAAATTGTGTTAACTGCAGGGTGAGCATGTCATGCAAGCCTGTCAATAAAAACCATAATGGAAGAACTTTGCCATCACAAAAAGGAGATTTGAGTCCATGAATCATACTATGTTAGGTGCTTTCTTTGGCCTTAGCTTATTGTATTAATGAATCCAGTAACTGTATATTCAGTGAGCTGGCACGCTTTGTCCCCTAATCAATCTGAAACCTTATTCCAGAAAAATGTGCAGCTGTTTGAAGGTGCTCTGGAGCTCCTTATGACCAGCCCTAATAAACCACACAACTGAAATCCACTGACAGCCTTTTCTCATGAATTTATTGAATCCCTTTTATACACACAATGACCACAACTACATGTTGTGGCAGCAAATCCCACATTACTTTTTGTCTACTCAGAATTTTCCTCTCTGTGGTTCATTCAAAGACCGCATGGCAACTAGTAATCAATACTGCTAGTCTTCAAAATCTCCCCAAATCACAACCTACCCCTCCCCATTAAAAGAGCCTTACCAATGAGCACTAAACTTCACTGACATATTGTGAGCTTGCTAGAAATGTTTAATTAGGGCACATGGCATTTCACATGCAAAAGTCAGTCTCAAAGAACAGATGTTTTGTGACCATACAGAAATTATGTACTGAAAAAAGCTTTGAAAGTTCTATGCTGAACCTGCAATTTGATACATGTTTACTTTAGACTAGGTCCTATTTAATGTAATGAGTTATTTCTGAGTAAAACATACATTAGATTCTGCTGTTAGGACAGTGATAAGGAAGACTTTGACACTTTTAAGTGAACATAATATTTATTTTAAGGAAAGTCTTTTTAACACTTACAGAATAGGAGTTATAATTAACATTCTGGCTTCATTTGTGAAAGCTGAATGACTTGCTTAAGGCCATACAGCAAACTGACTGCAATTAAGTAGTAGTCAGGGTTCTCAGACTACGGAACATTTCAAATGTTAGTGAGTCCCTTGAGGATGCTGTTGAAAAACTCCTGTATGTGGCAGTTACAGTGGATACAATCATTAAAATCTGTTTCCCACCCAGTAGGTCTGTTAATGGGCAAAGCTTCATAATACCTGGTGACAGAAAAACATGGTAAGGGCATGTTCAGTCTCTAAAACAGCTTTGTCCCAAAGGTTTTAGGATGATGGCGTCATTGTTTCATTGGCCATCCAAGCTGAAACTAATGAGCCTTGCTTACACAGAGAGAGCTGCTGGGCATGGTCCAACATTTTGATCCCAGGTTCCCATTCTAAATTTTGTATTCCCTAACCCCCTCCTCAGCTAGCACTGGCCATTTATTTGGCAGATATGTATGAAAATTCTTAGCATGCTGATTCTACTCTGATTTACAGTTTGACTGTGATTAACTAAGGTAAGATAATTTCAACTATTACTTCAGGGCTACCCTTATCATTAGGTATAATGACACAGACAACTCAAGCAGCTGATGACAGCAGCCAAGGAATAGTTATATACCTGCTGTTTCCTGAGGCAGTGGATTGTGTTTGCTCATTTGGACGGAAAAGCTAGGAAACTGAACCCATGGGAAGGTTGCAAATAGGCAAGGGAGGGCAAATAAAGCCTTGCCAGCTCCAAATACATGAATGTACATGTATCCATCCATATATGCACAGTTTCTCCACTTTTCCAATTATCTTTCCAGTCTCTTTTCAATGACTCATCCTACCCAATTTAAAGAAAAGGATTAAAGTATCACTGAAAGATGACAATATAGTTTTGAGTTGAGAAACATACTTTTGAAAAATTTCCCCTTAATTCCAACATAAAAATATGATTATGGAAATGTTATGTGATCAGACAAAGTACCAATCATAAAATTAGTTAATTATCATTCCAAAAGGGGAAACCCATAGTGAAGAAAAGAATAATGTTTAACTAAATGTGCTTTTTACCTTAGAGCTATGCACGAGTTCATAATGTAAAAACTGCAGAAATTGACGATGTATAAATCAGATCCTCTATTCCAGTATTTCTGAATCTCAGCAACTATAAGATGTGTGAACTTCAATTCCCAGAATTCCACAGCCAACATTTGGAATACTGAGAATTGAAGTCCACACATCTTAAAATTGCTGAAATTAAGAAACTTTGCTCTAATCCAGGGCTTTTCAACCAGTGGTACGGGTACCACCTGTGGTACATTGGCACTTGGCAGGTGGTACGCTATCATTCTAGAAAAGTGGTAGTGGGGGAGGAGAATGAGCTGAACGGGTAGCAGCACCGCACAAGCCTGAGCGAGAGATGGCTGGAGCTGCAGGGCTGTCAGGGCTCGGTGGAAGCACCAGGATCAGCACCAAGCTCCAGCTGGAGTTCGGCGCTGATTCTGGCGCTTCTGCTGAGCCCAGAAGAAGCGCTGATCAGCTGGAATGTTGCAGCATCTCCAGGGTCTTGTGATTTACATTCAGATGCTTGGCAACTGATTCATATTTATGATGGTCAGTGTCCCAGGGTCATGTGAAGTGACCAAAACCTGCTGCAACCACCCATCAAACAGGGGGAATAAAAACCAAATACCCTCCCACCCCACCCCTGCTGCCAATCCTCAACAGAAATGCTCACAACAATGAAAACCTCAGACAGGAGGAAGAGCGCTGCCGGGTGGGCAGGCAAGTGTCTTGCTTGGCTGTCCCTTGGGGGGCACTTTTTTCAGTGCCATTGTAACTTTGAACAGTCACTAAGCGAACTGTTGTAAGTCGAGGACTACCTATGCTTTATCACTTTTTTCCTTTTTTTTTTTTTTTTGATCATCAAGTTTTTGACACCTTGCTAGGCGACTGGTGGTACTTGGATATTGCCATATCCTAAAAGTGGTACAATGGGTGAAAAGGTTAAAAAGCCCTGCTCTAATCTATCATGAGGATCAGGAAACATATTTTAAAGGGATGGAAATAGGAGAAGAACAGATCTGTATGAGTCATACTTTGCACTCTTGCAGGTCAACAAAAAGTGCCTCCAAGGCTCGTCGGGATCAGATCAATGTGGAGCTGCAGACTCTTCGGTCTCTTCTGCCCATCTCTGAACAAGAGAAGGAACAACTTTCATATCTCCACACCATGGCTCTGGTCTGCTTCCATATACGAGAGACTCAACTTTTTAATTCTGGTAAAAGAAAAATTCGAAGTCACTTTCTGTAATTTGTTTAATGAATGCCAGCTTTAGCCATAATCAAATCATACTGTATTTCTCTAAACATCATTTGACCTTCCTATAAAAGTTTGATTAACTGCAGAAAGAAACTAATATTCAAGGAGTACGTTCTATATCATATTGTACAATTTTTCACCTACATAGAGACATATATTCAGATGTGACCAGTAGCCATAGAAGCAGTTTACCAGTCTGTATTCAGAAACATAGTTAAGATTGTGAAGGGTTCATGTGTTGATTTTGTTTGTGGGAATGGAAAGGAGAACTGACTATGATGAATGTGAATGTACTTTAGGAATTACAGTACAGGTAAGTAAAGAAGTCATCACTGCTCCTGAAAATAGAAAGTAGTGAGTCATCACTTACTTCAAACTATGATTACCATGTGACATCCTCCCATTTCTGTTTGCTGAAAGTCTCAGTCTATCTCATTTCCTTCAGAATTCAGATTTGAAAATGTTCACCTGCAGACACAGAAAACCAGAAAAGTGCAGAGACATTTGTAGTCAAATCCAGATTTACTTTGTATGTACCTTATAGGTTCCCTAAACTGAATGTGGTTTTCTCTTGGCTTCACACAATTGAATCTGCACTAGCAATAGACTTATATACTGCTTCATAGTGCCTAACAGCCCTCTCTAAGGGGTTTACAGAGTCAGCAATATTGCCCCCAGCAATGGGGGTCTTCATTTTACTGACCTTGGTAGGATGGAATGCTGAGTCAAACCTGACTTGGTCAGGGTTGAATTGCTGGCAGTTGGCAGAGTTAGCCTGCAATTATACTGCATTCTAACCAATGTCCCACCATGGCTCATTATCTCATATTAGCTGCATATGGAAGGTGTCTAAGACACCCATTCTTTTTCATTTCTATTTCCATGACAGGTTTCCTTCCAGAGTGTGTGTGTGTGTGTGTGTGTTTTTGGGGGAGGGGGCATATCTAAATATAGGAATGTACATTTATCCCAGTTGAAACTTTATCCAAGCTCTGTCAAAATCAGCTAGCTTCTTGATTCTATCATCTTTTGTAGTTCTCTTGGAGCAACAATTTGATAAGCATTTTCTTCAAACTTCACCCCATGTCTTTGGTCGTTCTGCCCCCAAATGCCTGTAAGTTGCATGTTACTTTAGAATGCTAATCTTTTCTGCCTGCACATACTGACCCAAGTATAAAAATAGCTGTGACTAATCTACAGCACAGTCTTTGACTCCTATTTAGGTTTTCTGAGAGTGCAACCTGATCCAAAAAGATCCCAGAGTACTGGGCCTACATTGGATGTGTCCTGGGATCTAACCACTCAGACAGGATCAATAGGGATCAATATCTATCTGTGCTAGTTATGCTAACTTTTTTCTTATGAATCCTTGTGATTTATTGTCATTTTATCATAATTGATAACTGAAACAGTTGCATAACAACTGCAGTTGTTGTAAACTGAGAGGATTTGTATTTGTACTGCCTTGGGAATCAAATCCCCTCCTTTTATGCTTTTCCACTGCTATAAAAAAATACAGTTATCCTGACATTATGCAAACCTTAACAGTGGCATTTGCAGTGATGGAAGAGGGAGGGTGGGCTCTCCAGCTGACAAGATGATAGACATTATGTTGTGATCTAAACCATCCTTGGCATGTACATCTTGCCTGTTTTTACTCTGTACTTCCTCTGTCTCCGTATGGACATTTCTATCCTCTAAATCTGTTTTGCGAAGGAGCTTCCAATCTGCACTTATCTGTGGGCTCTTCCTTACAACATATGAGGTTAACTTAAATAATATACTTCATTCCAGACCTTAACTTTAGGACTGGATGTTTATGTCTATGGGGAGAAACAACTTATAGCCTCTGCACTGCAAGTATGCCTAGTGAGTGTTCTGTAATTATCTGAGAATTTCACACCCATTGCATACCTCAAATGCCTCACTGACTAGGAAATTAAAAGAGAAAGATTTTTTTTAACATGTATTATTTTTTTCTCCACTTTTACATCATAGCTCCATCTACTTTTACAGTTGAGTGCAGATTTCTGGCTGCAAAACCAAATGACTTGCAACATTTGGCTACTAAAAATGCTCCCGTTATAATCCTTTGGAGGGTTTAAATCTCTTCATACATATTTTTCAGAGCAGTATATGCTATTCCAAAGAGAACTCCTTATGGTGTTTTTATTATTTGTTATGGTTTTAACTCATTTAAATATCACATATGCATCCTACTTATCATAAGTATGCACTTGCAATTTAAATATATGTGTATGTATGATCAGAAAATGAAAATAGAGAAAAGATCTGATTCTATGTGTTACTAATGTCTGGTGCTGATTTTTTTTTTTTAAAACATCAATGAATTTCAAACATGGAAATAATTATGCACACTTATTTGTGCTTAAGGGAAGCATAGAATAGGCCATAAAATGCAGCCATGCTGCATGCAACAGCTGGCATTATCAAGTCCTACATGTTTTCCATCATGTCTTGTTTCCCCAAAGGTGTCTTTTACCTAAAAAGATTTTTCTGTTTTCCCTTTTATTTTGATTTTTTTTCCTTTTGAGGATCAGAGCAGAAACCAATAGGCCTTTGTATTTTTTAATTATTCTGGTATCTATATTTTTGCAATACCCTGAGATACCCTGAGAAAGTGAAAGACACAATGACCTGTCATATTCTGTCATAATTATATTTGAAGATGGGCAGGCTCTGTTTTTTTTTTTTTTTTTTTGCTCAATGCATTTCCTGAAAAAATATTTTTCTCTATCTAAAATATGAGGGAAGAGCTCATCTGGGAGAAAACAAGCCAGACTTGCATCAGTTTCACTACAACTGATCCTGTGGGAGAAAAATTCACCGTACTAGATCAATTAGTAAAACTGACTAGACCAATGTTTCTCAACCTTGGCAATTTTAAGGCATGTGGACTTCAACTCCCAGAATTCCACAGCCAGCATTGCTGGCTGTGGAATTCTGGGAGTTGAAGTCCACATGCCTTAAAATTGTCAAGGTTGAGAAACACTGGACTAGACAATTGATGACTCATCCTTTCAGAGAAATTTTCTTACCTCAACAGAGAAACAGAATTAGCGTGGCTGGGCAAAAAAAACAACAATGGGAGCAGGAGTGACTTCCAACCTTCTGCTGGGTTCCCGTTTGACTTCGTTTTTTGGGAACCTGGCAAGAGCATCGGAAATCATGATTATATGATAACTATGGTGACAATGCTACAACTTTGTTAACACCACTAATGTGAACATCTTCAAAATTTCAGTTACACGGGAGTAATGGATCCTGAGTTTTATACACATTTTTTAAGTTAGAAGATTTGGATGTACCTTGATTCAAAAATTTTTGCAGGATCTGACCTGAGCCAGTCACCAGGATCAAAGGTTTATTCTTCCAAACTTTCGGACTTATGCCAGAAGCCATCATCAAGAAACTTCTCTCTCTCAAGTCTATGCGCATTGGGCTGCTCTATGCATTGATTTTATATGGTTCCTGGTTGTGTGTAGTTTTTAATTGTTAATTAGCATGTTGATGGCTGGCTATTAAGTTGTTAGTTGTTGTTTCCTTGTGCCGCTCAGCTCCTAAGTAAACCGGCACTCCTATTGACTGTCAAGGGGCCCAATTCCTAGGCTTCAATCATTTCTCTGGCTATTTTTGTCCCTGCTCGACCAATAATCATAGTTGCTATGAAACTGAATGCATGTCCTTGTATGTATGATAGCAGGAAATTGTTGCTTTCTTCCATGTAGAGTTTTACCCAATGATGTATAGAATCCATGTACCACTCTTTTGTTTTCCCAGGCTCACATCAAATGACATCTGAACAACCAGCTTATGCTACTGCTGCTATTGCAGATCCAGAACTGATGCATTCACTTTCTGGGTTCATTCTAGCTCTCACTGCAAAAGGCAAATTGGCCTATCTCTCTGAGAATGTAACACATTTCCTTGGGTTTTCTGTGGTAAGCATCAATATTACAGAAGGTGAGGCACTCCATCATGCCGTACTTAGCATGGACTTTAGAGATTAGATTTGGCAGGAATATAATGGAACTTTCCATTCTGCTGCTAGTCCATTTTGTGTAATAGTGGTTTAAGATTAAATGTAAGAACCTTTCTAACATAGCTACTCAATATTCTTTTAAACAGAAATGGTTCAGATTTTGGCATGCAAACTATGTTGCTACCGTTAGCAACTATTAAATGTTAGAGTGTCATTTGCTTAAAACCCTGAAGCTTTTGTTAGAGCCCTGCAGGATCTAAATATTGTTTTAAAAATGCTTAACTTTCAGGACCATATTTTCAGACTGAAATAGCACTTATTCCTAACAGATCCTTAGAGGAAAAGATCATTGCAAATAAGATATTTTATTATACATTTTTCTAGGTAGAACTCCTAGCACAAGGCAACTCCATCTTTGATCTTCTGAACAGCACAGCAAGCAGGATCATACAAGAAAAACTCAGCTTTGCCCATCAGCATCCAGGCATTGGTGAGGACAAGAAGGGGTTGGCAAAAGGTCTTTCCAGCTAGGGGGCAACTGAATCTTTTTCTGAGATAGCAATTTTTTTCTAATTACTGAGTTCAAATGCTCTCCATTTTGAGTTGGCAAAAAAACAATGCTGGCATAACGTTTGCTGCCTATTGCCAATCTATATCCTGCTTCTGCTGCATCAATTCTGAGTCTTGATTTGTGTGTTACACTAATATGGTCTGTATAATTTTGAATGAATGCTGGAATTCCTAAAGTAGTGGCAAGCAACTTAGAAATAAGTCACTAACTCACACTGAACTCTTGCTTCCTTCTTTGCTTGTGCAAGACAATAGTAGGCTTGCCTAAAGTAAGTGGGGATACATTTTGATAGGGCTCTTGCCTTGTATAGGCAATGCTGAAGTGCTGTTAAATCTGAGGTTTGCTTTTTGTTTGCCAGTACAAGCCATAGCGGGTGGCCAACAATGAGCAGTTGTGCTACTAAAAAGTGTAAGAAATCTTGTTGACAAACATATTGGAATATAATTATTAGTTATCCTACTTTAATCCTAGGGAAATCAATAGGGCACAGGGCTGGCTTTAGGCTAAGGCTGAGTAGACACTGGCCTAGTCTAGAGCAAACTGCCTATCAGTTGGGCACTTACAGATCTGGCAGACAGGTTGCACCAGAATTTGTACTTGTATTGTTATCTCCTCAGCCCCAGCCTCGTTACTTGAGCAAAATGGTGGATATTCTTCCTACACGTTGAAAAAACTTCTGATGATTGTATGTCATCTTCTACAACAGTGGTTCTCAACCTGTGGGTCGGGACCCCATTTGGGGTCGAACGACCATTTCACGGGGGTCGCCAAACAATGCAGTCTGCCATTTTTTCCCCCTTTTCCTTAACTGTGCTACTCCCTTTTATTCTATTGGCTTTTGAAAGCCAATAGAATAGACTCTCTTGAATAGAGTCTAATTCTATTGGCTTTCAAAGCCAATAGGAATTGTCCAGGCTGTCTCTGCCCTGCTGAGCCCGCCAAAAGTCCCATTCTGCAAATGGTGCTGCACCAGTTGAGTAGTCCTTGACTTACAACCGGTTGGGGTCGCGGCATTAAAAAGGTTGAGAACCACTGTTCTAGAATAAACTAGCGTCTAGAATAAACTATTATTTCTGATGCATAAATCTGGTCTATATATAATCAGGGTGCCTCCAGGAGACGCAAATATTAAATAGGATTGCTCTCTGGTTCAAAGGAAGAGGAGAAATCTGCTAATTTTTCTCCATTCTAGGTATTCTCCCATTCAGAAATTTTATTTTCACATTTTTGTGTTGCCTATAGAGAAAAAGTTATGGGTATTAGATTTTCATGCTGTTAGAAAGAGGAGATTTCAACTGGAGCTGGGGCAATAAGAAGGCATTTTAAATGTTTTTCAATGTACTGCATTACAATACAAGCAATAACAGAAAAAGCAAAATATTAAAAAGTATCTGTAAATAACTTGCAGTATTTTTCCTCTTAAGTTACTACCATAGTTAAAAACTATTAACCCTGTTTCCATTTTTTGCTTCCTTATAAGTTATGATAATTTGCAGCATAATCTCATCCAGAATAATAAATAAATAATTTAAAATCACAAAAATTTGGAGCAACACCTTTCTGGAATTACTTTTTCTCATCTGGGCCAACTGTTTGTATGTATCTTTTTTTTTTTTTGGAAAATGTGTACCGTATATAGGTACAGTACTCAGTAACCAGAATTATAAAGACTGGGTAAAGTGAAATGTATAGAATTATAGTAAAATTGAAAGCTAATTAGAAAACTATCATAACCCGTTCTTAAGTTGTCAGCCATGAATGTGAGAAAAATGGTTCAGTTTATAATTTATGCTAAATTGTAACTTGTTTATTGAATAGTCTATGATTGAGTTCACACAACACATTAAATCAAAAACAAATCACATGACAGTTTACATGATTACACTTTATCCTGCAGTGCAAATTTCAACCTGACATTAAATTGCAAGTATTCTTCTCCATTTTATTCTGCAGAAATTGAGTTCATCATTGAAATGTGTACCTCAAGAGCCTTTCGGATTAAGTATGGAAGGAACCGTCCAATACTCATGCGGGGTAGATTCCTCTCACTTGACACACAGTTGACTTCCGCCTCTCCTGCTCTGACTTTTGTTGCTTTCTGTGCTCCTGTCCTCCATGGGGTTGAAGAAGGGAACAATAGGTCCCAGAACTTCACCTTCCAGAGCCAGCATACATTAGATATGAAGATTGCTGAAATGACTGAAAAGTAAGGCCAATTTTTTTTGGGTGTGCATCTACCTGGAGATGATATGGATAAAATTGCCAAATGTCCACACAAGGGAAATCTGCCTTAAAACTGTATGTTTTAGCTTGCATTCATTAGCAGATAAAGTTATCTGTAGCATAAAGACCTGGTAATACAGGATGATTACAAAGTTTAAAACCCATAGAATCAAGGCTAAATATAGTAAAGGTAGTCCTTGATTTATATCCATAATGGAGCCCACAATTTCACTCATAAGTTACCGTGTTTATAAAGCAGGTCACCATATGATTACACCCAATTTTATGACCTTTTTAATGGCAGTTGTTAAACAAACCCATTGTTTGCTATAGGGTATTTTTTTTTTTTTTTGCCAGAGACAGGAAGTAAACATGGCAAAAGCTTTGTAAATTGCAGTCATATGACGGGGGGGGGGGCGGTACTGCAAACAGCTATAAAGAGCTGTGGTGGCACAGTGGTTAGAATGCAGTATTGCAGGCTAATTCTGCTGACTGCCAGCAGTTCGATTCTCACGGACTCAAGGTTGACTCCACCTTCCATCCTTCCGAGGTCAGTAAAATGAGGACCCAGATTGTTGGAGGCAATATGACTTTGTAAACTGCTTAAAGAGGATTATAAAATACTATGAAGTGGTATATAAGTCTAAGTGTATTGCTATAAACGAGGGCTGGTTGCTGAGCACCCAAAGTGAAGTCATGTGATTTTGGGGGTGCAGACATCAGAACTTCGAATTTAGGTTGTAAGTACCATTTTCGGGATCTGTCATAAGTTTGAACACTTGCTAAGAGACTGACCAGTCAAGAACTACGTGTAAAGAGTTGGCAATTCTATTCTGAACAATAGCTTTTCTAACAATAGATATACACTTGATGTTTATTTATCACAATTGCCCATTTCACAACAGAAATATCACAAGGATATTATTAAATTATGTGATACATGTTCTTTTCTCAATTCAGTGTTATTTATCATCTTGGTTATAAGAAAGAAGAATTAATTGGTCAGTCTTGGTATTGTTTCCTGCATCCTGAAGATACTGGAAGAGGGGCAGAGATGCACAGAAACCTGAGTGAGTACTGCATTTGGGACAGACTAATATCCTTCATTGGAGTCTGGCGAAGGAACGATTGCACATTTCTGCTGTATCATAAGTATTTCCAAAGAGCAACTTACAGCAGTTTTTACATGGGCCATTAAAAATCCCATTATTCCTAATAATTCATCATATTATCTGAAGACAGCAGGAACCGTTATTCAATAACATCTTCTTTGTTAACTATCGGACAGGGTCCCTTATTCTGTTCATTACATCTATAAACCACCAATGAAACACAAATGTTACAAATAAATAACATTTATGACCGGGTTACAAATTAAAAGCATATACATGAGACCAATAAAATGGTGATAATAGAACAGGTCCTATAAAAACAAAATACAGCTAGCTGTGCAATAGTACATAATAAAACCAGCAATCTTTCTCCGCCAGTTATCTTCAAATATAATGGACTCCCATTCTACAGTATATGGCCAGAATGTCAGCCATACAGCCAAGGATTTTTGGTAGTTTTAATTCAATCTCAACATTCTGAAGAATTGCTCTAGGGGTAATATTTCTCAAACTTGGCAACTTTAAGATGTGAGGATTTCAACTCCCAGTAGCTTGGCTGAGGAATACTGAGAGTTGAGGTCCCCACATCTTAAAAGTTGCCAAGGTTGAGAAACGGTGCTAGACTCTACCCTCCAATTGCTTCTTTCATAATTGTTAGTTTGTAAAAGTCTGGTTCCTGCTTCCATCTCTGCTACATCTACCTAGTGTAAATGTTAAGACTTTCACAACATTTCACAATTCTGCAGAACACTTGAGGGGATATTGATATGATCTACTTGCTATGTTAGTAATCATCTTTTAGTAGGTATCTGGACATAAAAAAATGATAATCTTTCATACCAATTACAAGTCATGCTGCCCAAATAATCTTAGGCATGAATCATCTTCAGTATATTTATATGTGGGCTTTCTATTATTGGCTTGACCTACTGAGTTGTAACGGTTGCAGAAAAAATATGTGAACTGATGTGAGAACTTAGAGAAGGGGTATCTAAAGGCTATGTATCATCCTTGCACCCATACCAAATTCCAATCCAAGTATATTTTGGAAGTCTTAAAAGATATGTATTTAGAATCCATAGTTAACTCAATAAATCCCTTTTGAAATCCTTGGGAATATAGAAAAATGGAAGAGATTTCACTTAATCTAGGCTCCTTCTTTCTTCCTGTTATGTTGCTACATTAAATGGCTTATCTGAGTATTTATTTTAAATGTTTATAGTTTCAGCACAGAGCACTGGGAAACAGAATCAGCATGTAATTGTACGTTTATGCTGCAAGGACCTGAGCTGGGTCTGGGTGCAAGTCACTGCAGTGATGGAGAACGGAAAAGGAAAGCTGATCACTTGCACAAACCACATCCTCAGGTAAAAACATTGACAGCTCAAGTGATATTTAAACCATGGGTCCCTAACCTTTTGGGCACCAGAGACCAGTTCTGTGGAGAGAGGTTTTTCTGCAGACTGGAAAGTATGTGGTTTTGTGTGCTGCCTGCATCCTGTGGGATGGGGCTTTGCTTGTTTGTGTGGACCGGTTGCTGGCATGCCATGGCCCGTTACCAGTCCACGGATCGGGGGTTGGGGACCCCTGTGCTAAACCAAAATGTAGTTTGTTTCATTTGTGGGTTGAATATTGCATAAACTCAGCTACTTGTGGTTGATTACATGTGCCATGTGGACTACTATTAGACGTTTAGAGTGAAATGGCTGCATCAATCACCTACATCATAGTATCATCCAATCTTTGTCATCCTGTGTATCCCCATGGTTTGCTGAATAAACCACAACTGACTGGCTTTATGCATTTGTGTGAAGTCTTAAACCATGATTTACAAAGCACAGTACTGACATCACTAAGCCATAAAAAGCCACATAATGGCTTAGCAAGATGTAGAGACTTACTATTTGTAAATCATGGTTTTGGGTTGAGCATAAAGTTTGAATCTGTTACTTGTGGCTCATTCAACAAACTAGAGAAAGTACAGCAGGACAATAATTGGATGACATGGTAATATCATGTCAATAAAATCAATAAAAATTCCCCACTAGAGCAGACTTCCTGATCCTATTCATTTCCAGGTCTGCTGGAGGAAGGCAGCTGGCGGAAATTAGATGGGAGGTAAGAAGCAATGGGTGAAATAAGCGATTGCTCTGTTGAAGGAAATAGAGGCATTTATGATTTCTGATCTGCAATCAGAAATGTCTATTTAGAGACATCCAGTCTAACACAGAAATATGTGCTACCACAAATGCCATTAGCTATGTTAAAAAAAAATTAGATGAAAAGGTTGATAAAATAACTAGAAGAAGTGATTTTTCTCAAGTGTCTGTGAAAGCAGGACAAACACTACCTAAATCAAAGATAAACATATTAAATTATTATAATAGTTCTTCAAATCATACTCTGTATTGAATTTAGTGTCCAAAAAATCATTTTATCAAGAATTCTGTTGCTTATATTGATTAACTGAAAAAATAGATCTACGAAAACCTTAAGGTCTCCTATGAATCCAATTTGATCTGTGATGACGCCAGGGAGACAGAGAGAGAGAGAAAGAGGGAGGGGGGGAGGGAGGGAGGGATGAAGAGGGAGAGAGGGAAAGAAACTAGCTTACAACCCTTCAATTTCATGGTGGTCTATAACTAAATCTAATCATCTTTAATTTTTCTAAGATCAGTCAGATTCTGCTAGGTCCCATACAAACTAGGTCACGGGTAGGCAACCTTGGCTCTTTTTATGACTTGTGGACTTCAACTCCCAGAATTCCTGAGCCAACATGGCTCAGGAATTCTGGGAGTTGAAGTCCACAAGTCATAAAAGAGCCAAGGTTGCCTACCCCTGAACTAAGTCAACATCAGAATGCTCTCAAATATAGACTACACTTTCTCAGCCTGATGTTCTTCAGGCATTTTTAAATTACAATTTCTAAATCTCCCAGTTAATTGTCCCTACGCAATTATAATTGCTAAAGGAATTGTCAGTTCAGATCAAAATATTTTCTGCAAGTGATGCTTGAATTTAATTTTCAGGCTCCTTATTTTTCTCCTAACACATTGCTTATGTTTGCAATCTGAATTAGCTCAGTGTTAGATTGGTTTTACAAATGGCTTCTTTTGCTTCCTATACTGCATTATTAATGTTCATAATGGTATCGGCTGTGAAAATGCCTTGAAGCTTGTAGTCAGTTTTCTTATATATAATAAATAAAAAGCTACATTTAGCCTCGCTGGCGAGGCCTGTGACTCTGTGTGATTTCCAGTGATGCTCGACTCCATGGAACTGTTTATATTCTCACAGGGACAAAGAAGCTCTCTATATCCAGAACCAAGACTCCTCACCCAGAGGTGTTTTTCCAGCTTCCTTAAAACAAAGCCATTGTTCTGGAAACACACTACAGCCATTGAAGTCAAATGAAGTCAACTTTTTCCTTCAAGAACCTGCCAGGGAAGGGGCCCTTGAATATTCTTCTTCTCAACTTCCAGAGGCTTGTAATGTAAAAATGATTCCTGCTCCTCTTCAGTCTCCATTTCCAACCAGTCTGACTGTCCCTAACAGGAAGACTGAAGCCGTCAGTGTGGAGTTGTCTCAAGAACCCCAATTTCCCTTTCCCTCTGCTGAAGGGCACAAGTATCTCTCATGCCCAGAAAGAGAGGATAGGCTGACCTGTTGCAACCCTGGTGCTCTTTGCTCGCCAGAATACACATTTTCCTCTGACAGCAGCTTTTCTATAGACTCTTCTCCTTTATTTGCAGAAAGGCCATCTACAGTATTGTTTCCAGCAATGAATATGAGCCTTGATTCAGACAGATGGGCTATCAGTATGCTAGCTGATCAAATCCACTCCCTGGCTGAAGTCTTCTCTCAATACACCAAGCAAAGGTCTCAGGAGTCTCTTGGCATTCACTGGCCTGGGCATCCTGCTGAGGCTGCCCCTCTAGTGGCAAGACACGACTTGGGGGCTAATGGAGCCATTAACTTTTCAGAAGAAATATCAGTGGATGAAGAAACCATCACCAGTATTTTAAACAACTTCTTAGATCATGACGTCCAGAATCAAGCCAGTTCTGAACAGAGACCAACAGGCCATTTTCACTTAGCAAATACCCAGTTGCAGCTTTCTATGTACCAGACACTTGTACCAGAAACAACTCCTTTGTCTTTCTCTGTATCATCTGATTCCAATCTGCATGATTCCCAGTGGGATGGAAAATTCTATAACATATATCAGCAAGGTATGGCTCCGCTTTTATCACAGTAGTACTATTTAAAAACAATATAACCACTGAACTTAATATGATCCTGCATAGACTTTGTCATGTTTGACTTAGGGTAGCATCTGATATATTTTTTTTTAGATGAAATCCACTGGGCACACCCATGTGTATACTATCCCTCTCTGTGTATACACACACACACACCACTGTTTTCTTTTGGATTAAACAATGTTATACAAAAATGAAGAAAAGGAATAAGTGATAGTAAGTCAAAGAAATTAAAGTTATAAGAGAAGAAAAAGAATGGGGAACAGATCTTATCACTATTCAATGAAGATTTCTACATTTTTATACATTCTCAACAATCAACATGATATTAGTTCATATCTTTTTATATGCTAGCACTTTCATTGCAGTTCCATTCCACAAATTCAAATTATCTTCATTCAGATTACTACATCATTCCCCTTTCACAAGTGATACAGCATACCTATCCCAAAGGTGCTTTTCCAAGAGACAACTGGACTTTCTTGCTTTTCTTTGAAGACTTTTCGCTTTCACCCAAGAAGTATCTTCAGCTCTGACTGGATGGTGGGGAATGGAAAAATTCATATTCCTCACAGTCAGCTGGTCATTTGCATTCTTTTAGAGAATCGGAGGTTTAACTGTGTCCTCAGGGTTACCTGAGTGGTGCAAATGCAGTCTTCTTGGAACTTCTGAAAGGACTGTATTGTAGACTGAAGATAGATGATGTCGTATCCTTCCCCCTCTGTTGAGAGAGGGCTATTCAGTTTTGACATAAATGGCCTCTTTGACCCCTCTTTCAAGTCAGTGGTCCTCTCTGTCCAAAATGTGGACTTTGCTGTCTTCAAAAAAGTGGCCTTTGTTTTTTAAATGCAGATGGACTGCTGAATCTTGTCCTGATGGATTTGTTCTCCTATGCATTGTACTGCATATATCAGTTTGTGTCTGGATGTTTGTGTCTGGATAAAACCTTGGGATGGATAAAACACTCAGACAAAAACTGAGCAACCGTGGTATATGCAGTACAATGCAGTGAGACATGTGCAGATCTGTATATTGGGGAAACAAAACAACCACTTCATAAACACATGGCACAACATAGGAAAACAAATCCATCAGGACAAGATTCAGCAGTCCATTTGCATTTAAAAGACAAAGGCCACTCTTTTGAAGAAAGCAAGGTCCACATTTTGGACAGAGAGAACTGCTAGTTTGAAAGAGGGTTCAAAGAGACCATCTGTCAAAATTGAACAGTTCTCTCTCAACAGAGGGGGAGGGATACGATAACATCTATCTCCAGTCTACAACACAGTCCTTTCAGCAGTTCCAAGAAGGCTCCACATCCATTTGCACTACTCAGATGACCCTGAAGACACAGATAAACCACAGTGGCCTCAAAACTCTCTAAAAGAATGCAAATGACCAGCTACCTACAAGGAATATAAATCTTTCCATTCCCCACCATCCAGTTAGAGCTGAAGAAGCTTCCTGGATGAGAAGCGAAACATCGTTGAAGAAAAGCAAGGAAGTCCACCTTTGGGACAACCATGACCAGGATGACTGAGAATCTCCATAGACATACAGCATACCTATGTTTTTTCATTTCATTAACTCATGCTCTTTATCATTTGTCTTACATCCCAAACCACAATCTTCCATGTGCCATAGTCTTTACCACGTAGGCCCATAGATTTTGATTTCTACTGGTTAATAGTCTTTCATATAATGCTTTTAGTATGATAATATGCAGACTAAGTTCCCAGTCTTAGTCATACCCATTCCACATTGAGTATTTCCTGCTCATAGTAGTAACAATTTGTTTGTTTTTAATCATTTAGTCATGTCTGAGTCTTGGTGACTCTATAGGCAAGGGCTCTCCATGCTATCCTGTTAAGCACTGCTTCTTTCAATTGTTGCATATTCAACTTTGCATCAGATTTGATGTTATCAAGTCAGTGTGTTCTTTGCTTGCCCCTTCTTTGTCCACTAGCCATTCCTAGCATCATTGCCTTCTCCAATGAATTCACAAGCATAACATGGCCAATATACTTTAATAATACTGTAATAATACCGTAAAAATGTATTGGGCACTTTTGATCTATTTAGCATAAACATGTCCATATTGCTTTAAGCAAGGGGGAAACTCTATTCTAGACACTACCTTAGAAGTGAACATACTGTTGCCCACATCTCATGATGCAGGGGTCATATACAGTGTAAATAATACACATCCAGGATGTTGTATACCCAATTACTGTGATCGGTAAATCATAGTTTATATCATGAAATGGGCAACCTGAAGCCTAGGATTGCAAGCAGCTCATAAGTCCACCCCCAACGTTTTTCTTTTTCTTTGGCTTTCCTTGAAACAATTTATGAACACGGTTGCCAAAAACTGGTGTTGTTTCTGGCAATTTATTCTGTAAAATATCAAAAACTAAAGTTTAAGCCCAAAGTGGGGTTAATATAATTTATAAGAAGCAATTTAGAACTAAGGAGAAACTTCCTGACAGTTAGAACAATTAACCAGTGGAACAACCTGCCTCCAGAAGCGGTGAATGCTCCAACACTGGAAGTTTTTAAGAAGAGACTGGACAGCCATTTGTCTGAAATGGTATAGGGCAGAGGTAGGCAACCTTGGCTCTTTTACGATTCATGAACTTCAACTCCCAGAATTCCTGAGCCGGCAATGCTGAGGGGAAAGGGAGAGGTTACAATGCTTAGCCATGCTGGCTCAGGAATTCTGGGAGTTGAAGTCCATGAGTCATAAAAGAGCCAAGGTTGCCTAGCCCTGATATAAGGTTTTCTGCCTGAGCAGGGGGTTGGACTAGATGACCTCCAAGATCCCTTCCAATTTTATTATTATTATTATAAGCATGCAAAACCTTGAAATTTCCTCTCCCAGAATCAATGGAAAAGCCAAATTCACATAACAAGGGTGTTACTAATTTAACCACTACAATGATACAATTTAGAAATGTGGCAAGAAAAGTCATAAAAATGGGGCAAAACTCACAACAAATGTCTCACTTAGCAATATAAATTTGGGGCTCAGTTGTGGTTGTAAATAGAATAGAATATCTGTATTCCACCCCAGTCACCCTCTCAAACCTCAGGTTTGAAGGGGAGCATCAGAGAAAGAAATTCCCTGTGGAATGCCCTTTCCTATTCTTCTTCTTCCACTCCACAGGGGCCCAAGCGGAGGAAGCCGCCGCTTTCTGTTGACCCTCCAGAGGTGCCAGCGCTTGCAAATGAGCCACGCGCGCCTTCCAACACGATCTAGGTGCAACCCATTTCAGTTGCCGTGATTAGGACTGAATCAGTGATCGTGGCACAAGATTCAGAGGAACGGAGCTCCCTGGCCCTGGAGGAAGGATGGAACGGAATTGGCATCAAATCAAGCCACGGATAGCCGAACTCCCCGAATTACTTTGCTGTTTATTCCTGATGCTGCGGCGAGCAAAACCGAAATGACTTTGACTAACCACTCCTGAGAGCAAATATCCGGGGGGGGGGCAGCTTGTTGCGGGGTTTTTTTGCGGAGGAGCGGGCTCACCCGTTTTTTTGTAAATAAAGGCATTACGGTAAAACCTTCCCAAGCGCTTTCTGTTTACTCGAATGACGTCAAGAGGAAGGCGGGGTGGACCTCCGGGTAGGCTGGCTCTCTTCGGAAAGCTCCTCCTGCCCTCGCGATCCGAAATGGTGATTTCTATGTGCGCATGCGTAACTGGACTGACTCACGTGCCCGGCTCTTTGTGACTTCCGCGACCCTCAACCCCCCAGTCGTGCCATTGCCAGGAAACGGAAAGGAGCTGTGGCGGCGTGACCTACCAGCAGGCCGGGGAGATCGAGGAGGCAGGCCGGGGAGATCGTGGAGGCAGGCCGGGGAGAGGGACGGAGTGTGATCGTGTGGGATAAGCCTGGGCAGCCTGTCATAGGCAGGTAGAACTCGTATTTTACAGCTCCCTCCCGATTGTTCGCATATCCTTTCCTAGAGACTGCCTCTTCCGGTGGAAGACCCTTAACTCCCCTCGAATGGATACCACTCATCACTTTGTCACCGACTAGCAAGTGGGAAAGGGTAACATTGGAGGCCTGCAAAATTGGCGGACTAATAGGAATCGTTACTTGGCCTGTCACAGACTTGGTAAAATTGCTGTTTAGCTAAAATCTAAGGCAATACAATGAAACTTCCAAGTTCAGAGGCAATACTGTATGTCTTTTCATTTTGGATAATAGGGAAATAACAGATTGCTGGTAGTTTCAAAGGGGTGAAACCATAAAACATTTTTAAATGTCTCCTGAAATACCTACATGAAACCAGTAATGAAGGTTTGGCATTTCTAGGATTCATTGATAACATATTCCATCACAATTTTAGTGAAGCAGTGGCCTGTCTACCCATTTGCTTCATTTAACAGAATCACAAAGAGAAAATCGACAGCAAGTACTGCTTTTACAGTTTCCCACATTTTATGTGAACAATGTGAAAAGGAGGACTTTTGTAATAGCAGCTCCTACATGTTAGAAAAATTCCATCAATGACAGACTGCCATGTTTTTATAGGTACTAACTGTAGGTCATTGCATGCTAGAGTCCCAAGTAATATTTAAAATTAATTTTTGTGGTGAAATATGAACATTTAATTATGTCTGGCAGAAACAGACTTTAAACTTTAGGGCACCTCTTTCTTTTATAATAGGGGAAGCAATTTTGGACTTCAGCTCTTTTTAGTTCCAGCTAGCAAAGAAGTGTAGAAGCTATAGTCCAAAACATCTGAATCATGCCAAGCTGCTTGCCTTGTTTTACCTGCTTAAAGCATAGAACTTGAGATATCATTGTAAAAGAAATATCATTGTAAAAGGCTGGTCGCTCCTGCTATCCTACGTCATCTCTGAGCAATTAAAGAAGATCCAGCCTTATATACTGTAACTCCATCAGAATCAGCCTTACAGCAAATTGCAGAGAAGTCTAACCTGCCTCTATCCCACAAGCAATAAGTGAACAGCAAAGCTTGATATAGTTACCAAATTTTGAAATTCTGTTAAAACACTCTAAAATACAACACAATGACCTGTTAATAATTTTCTTCATTAATTAGCTCTTGTATCTAATAATTGGCAATATCCTGCTCTTGAATATTGACAAAACCTCTTACATCAATATATATTGATTTGTTTGATAATAGATTTGTTTGATAACATTGATTTACTTTGAAACTGCCCAATTAATACACTTTTAGTAACAAAGGGATCAGGTCAGAAAATAAACTACTGGATTCTTCATATTAGATTTTTTTCCTTGAAGAACTAAAATTCTTGTTCAGAGCACAATCTAGTGGTTGCTTAACTTTACTAAATACCAGCTTTGGACAGAGTAGTTTCCTCTTCCTACAGTGCAATAGAGAGAAATACATTACTGCTCTTGTGTTAGTTATGAATTAGAGTTTGAAACCTGTTTAGAGAAATAGATGGTAATAGCTTAGGAAGAATTCATAGACTCTAAGAAAAGACTGGGCTTGTTTTTTTGAATATTTGAATTTATAGTTTCTTCTCCTTATTTTAATGTGACTGAAATTAACACTAAAAGGAATTATTAAATCACTTGATGTACGAACTCTGGGTTCCTACCATTCTTTTCTTAAACAGCTGAACATTATACATGTATAAAATGTCTCATATACATATAAAACTTACTACTCAAGATCGTTAGATCTCTTTCTGGCTCTAGCAAGTAAGATTACTTGGTGAACATTGAGCTGAATTTAGGTTCTCTCAGTTAGCAGAACTTTGGAATAATTCAACAAGCTACTTCTCTGACACCCACATTGGTTACTTTATTTAAAAGGTATCTTCATATAACTTTTCAATTTAGAACACAATGGAAGCACTGTTCATCTCTTCAATTTTGTAACATTTCAAATAGCAGATGGCATCCATACCTGAAATATAATAATGTAAAGGAATTAGAGATGCTGCTAGATGTGTCTCTGATGATATATAATAGGTTAAAAGAGAAAGAGATATCTGCATTCTTTAATGAAGAATCTTACTACCACAGGTCTTTAGATAAGGAAATATACATCCGAGGCTGGGCAAATAATTCAACAAGATATTTTTTTCCACAAGTGAAGTAACTTCCATATCTGCTCTTCAAAACAACCATTTCATTAACTATTCTGCCGGAAGTGTCTTCTGGGCATGCACGTGAATAACCCAGAAGATCTTGGAAGGACTTCTTAAGCAGTTGCAGTGATGCTTTGAACAACTTTAGTGGCTTCTTACTGTTTCAGGAGCAGATCCAGAAGGGGTACTTCACAAAGTGTTATCAAATGAGTACAGTGCCATAATTCCTTCCCAGTTTATAAACTCCTAGTTTATTAACTGTTTTAATGCAGCTGTTTTTCATCTGGGAATGTGCATAAGATGATTTCAAATTTGAGAAATATAATTAGACAGCCAATCCCATTTTCTATTATTGAATTATAATGAAATGAAGGCTAATAGAAATTTTTTTTCTTACTTGAACTAGTGAGTTGACGCATACAAAAATACCAGAAGCCTCATGAAGCAGCTGCGTGAGAATAAAGCTGGGGGCCATCCCCAAAAGAAGAATTCCTCCTCTGGTAAGGACAGTAAGACTCCAACCGTACAGACTCCGGATATCGGTTGGCAGATCAATATCTTAAATCAAAAACTCTTAGGCCAAAAACGATCTCCACAAGTTTTGAGCAGCATGGGAGGTGGTGCTGCAGGAAGTGCTGATGATGCCAAAAGACGTAAACTCTTGCCCGAAGTGAATTCACCTAGCCAAGAATCTGAAGAGGAGTCAGATGACAGTGATTATGAGAGAGTGGAGAGTGATAATGATGTCAGTGATACTACAGAGAGCGATGAAGATGATGGGGATGAAACTGACAGTGATGCATCAGAAAGTAGTAATGAAGACCCCGAAGAAACCGCAAGCCAGCCTTCTTCAAGGCCTGATTTAACAAAAGGTAAACATTGATGCCTAGAAAAATGCAATAAATTGTGCATCTCTGTGTCACTGATCAGCAGTTCTGAGTTTTTTCCTCTTCTTCTAAATAATTTTGGGATCATGTCAGTGAACAGACACTATCTGCTTAATTTAATTGTCCTCAAACTGTTCTCTTGATTGCTGGCTTTGTTATATAACTGTCTTGTTATATCTGTCACTTATTTTGTTAGCATTGGCAGGGATACCCTTTCTGCATGACATACGGACATGCTGCACTTCTCTATGTGATGTTGTAAAGATGCCAAGAAAATGGGATAACCATTCAGCAGTTTCTTTTAATCACTATAGTTAAATGTTTTAAACAAAATGAAATAATAAGGACTCATAAAAATATGGAACTAGCTTAAATGGTTGTATATATGTTGAATAATAAGAGTATCCAGACTTCTTTTCAGGAATAAATTCAGCATTCGCTGCAAAGCTTATCATTATTATTCTGTTGCAAATTAGAAGACAAAGGAAAGGACATAATGGCTTATGTAATAAAATTAAGTGGGTTTCTTGAAAAATGAGATTTGAATTGAAGATTTCCAGATTCACATACTTAAGCATTGCTGTACATTGCTTTTCAGTTGGGGCAAAATCAACAGTGTTAGAGTTAAAAAGTGTAACAATCTGTAATACTGGATATCTTTAGAAAGATAACATTTTTTCACAATGCTATGTGAGAAATTTTTTAAACCTGAATCAAATGAGTTAAAGAAAATTGGACAATTTATTTTTCCCTTCATTATTATGATAGTAGGTTAAATTAAAGGAATTAATCCCTACATACATGTATACCTAGCATGTTATTCCTTGTCAAGTAAACAACTTTGTACAAAGTGCAAAAAAAGGGTAAGAAATAGTAAGCGGAAGAAATTAATGGCAGAAGATAACAATAATTAATACCTTTTAAAAAATATTAATAAAATATTCTGGTGTTTATCTGTTCTTTATTGACTTAGCCATATGAAATCATGTGCCCCTGGTTACAGACAGGAAAATATGTGACACTCTTTGATAATCTCCTTTCCCAATATTATTGCTTGTTGAAAATTCAAAGCTTGATGAATAAAACAATATTGGGAAATGAGCACTGATGCTGAAAATGAGCATTTCATGAGTCATTGACTGCTGCAATAAGTATCTGTACCTTACAATGAATCAGTTTAGCTACTACATAAAAGCCAACTTTGCCTCTTGATAATTGCATAGAAGTTATTTTCATTGTCATGTCTGTTAAGAATTAACTGCAGTGTAGTGTCATAAATAGATGCTTCAGCTTTCAGCCAAAACTAGTGCAGGGTCTCCTTTACAGAATGAGCTTATTAGAGCATTGTGAAACTGTTGGCAAGAAGCAGCCTGGAGCATTAATAAAGAACAAATGAAGCTTTTTTTCATCTTGAAAATACATTTCCTATGTGTAATAAGCAATATGATATGGTGATCATAAATGTACTTGGGTGAGACTTCCTAAGGCAGGGTTTCAGTTGGTATTTGAATTCTTGTTTGGATATCCAGAAAGATTAGGCTGTGATAAAATCCATCTGATCAGAATCTGACCTGACTGTCTTTCAAAGCAGTGAGATTAGATGAGAAGACATGCACATTAAATATATTCAAATAATATTTGATGTCAATCCATGTTGTTTTCACTGTTTTGGAGTTATGCAGCCATGTATTCATAATTATTATAGAACCCAGAAATCTTTTCAAATGAGAATTGAGATTCTTTTTATGCTGACAGCCAACTTATGCAAAATCTAAGAAAAATAGAAGATGGGGGGGGGGGAATAATTAGTTGTCATGAATAATAGTAATATGTGGCTCTAGGTGGCACAGAACCTGGCCATGGCAAAAAATTCTGTTGCAAGGAATACAGAAAATTATTTAAGAACAAAATAAGTACAAATAATTTAGTTTCAGACTTAGATCAGTGAGAAAGAGGGCTGGTGAGAGGTTTATATGGTGGATTGATATAAAACATATGCTTTTGTTTATTCATGTTATTAATACAGAACATGAGAGAAACAATTTTTGGTTGTGAAAAAAGTAAAGGGACTTGTAAACACCCGTATCAATATCACCTCTAATATGTGTGAAATATGATCAAAAAGAAGAAAGAAATCAATATCCTGAACTGAATAAGCTGAGAGTCTAAATTCTGCCATTCTGTGACTGTGAGAGAGGGGTATATAAAAGTCTTGAGAGAAGGGAAAAACTAAGAGTTATACATTTTGAAACTGGAGGAGTGAAGCAATGAAATATAATAATTGGATATTTGTGTGATTTTGTTTCTTCATTTGTTTTAATATAATTTTATTAAAATTTTAATAATTCTATAATCAATATAATCATCAAAAGAAATTGCAAATTATTTTTTTTAGTTTCATGCAAAAAGTCTATAAAGGGTTTCCAGTTAGCAATAAAGATAAATATTGTCTTTTCTCTGATCAAAGAAGTCAACTTAGCCAACTCAATAAGTTCCATCATCTTCACTAGCCATTCCTTCGCTGTGGGCAATGCTGAATCTTTTCATATACAGCAGGGGTCCCCAACCTTTTTGGTTCTGCAGACCGATGGCAGGGAGAAATGGTTTCGCATGTGCAACCTAAATCCCGTGCATGCTCAAATGAAGTTTCGCACACTTGCCTCTCTCACCCTCCACTTCAGCATCCCGGTTCCCAATGTGCCACGGCCCAGGGGTGGTACACAGTATACTATATACAGTTTCCATATACAATAATGTCACTGCAGTTATCATGTGCAAAAAAAAAATTCCATAACATTTTTCAATCAATCAATCAATCCCCAAAAACCTCTGGCCTCAATTGTATATTAATATTTGAATCAGTGTATGTATTTGAATCCAGAATTTTCTATGTTCTTTGCATGTCCCTTGACCAAATTTCTAATATAAAACTGAAGTGTCTGTACATTTTGGATAATTTCTGTGGTGACATATACCAACTGTATATCATTTTATAAGAATTATCTTGAAGAGTATAACATATTGTAAATTTTAGCCACATATTTCCCATTGTTCCATCTTTATACAGGTGGTCCCTGACTTACAACCATTTGTTTAATGGCCAAAGTTACAATGGCACTGAAAAAAGTGAATTATGACTGCTTTCACTTGGCCATTGCAGCATTCCCATGGTCACATGATCTACAGTAATTCACTTAACTGTGGTAAGAAATGTAGTAAAATGTGGCAAAACTCACTTAACAACCGTCTTGCTTAGCAACAGAAATTTTGGGCTCAGTTGTGGTTGTAAGTCAAGGACTTACCTGTATTATAACTAATTTTTAGCCCACTTTATCATACATTCTTTCACTTGTTTCTCTTTTGTTTCAAATTTCAATAAGAGTTTTAGCAATTATATGTTCAGCATTTGTACAGTTTTTTCATACTCTTAAAATGTTCAAAACCATAAATTATTTTATCAACTTTAAATCTTTCTAATAATTGTAAATAAGAGAACAATATTCTTCTGCTATCAGTTCTTGATTTTATTTTACTTTCCTCTTGACAAAATTCTAGCGTCTCATGATAAGCCGGGCATCATTTGGGTTTGCTATTATTTCTTCACCTATAAAATGCTTCTTGTGCTGAGAACCCACAAAGGTGTTTTAGAGCACAACCTGGGTTTGTATCTGTCCCATATTCTCAATATAGCATTCTAACATTATGATGTTAAAAATCCACATTAACCATGACTTTATTGTACCACAAACATCCATGACACCCAAATCTCAGGTCACGTCCTTCTAACTTTAAAAGCCTTCCGTTTGTCAGTAACACTCACTCCTTCATCCAAACCAAGCAGCAAGCTGCAAAATATATTTTCAAATAAGGTGAACCCATACATCCTCTTTCCTTTGCATCTTGAAACAAAGTGTCTCAGCAAGAGAAAGAAAATGAAAATTCGCCCCTCTTTTTTTTTCTTTTGTGTTCCTGTACCCTACTTTTGTCTCAAGTGGCACTCTGTGGTACAGTCTGCATCACAATCGACATACTTATAGTTACAGTCAGCATTACATCTGGCTCATATTACCATTATATTTTGTTTTGTAAAATTCACCAATTGTCTGAACTCTGTGGTAATAAATAGTAAACCAAAAACATTCCTATGAAGGTCTGGTTTATTTGTCTAATTAAATTCCAGTTTGATCAAAAGCGCTTTCACACCCCCACATCCCCCAAAATCTTTACAAATAATTGTTCCTTTTATCCTTTTTAGACTTTCTTACATCGACTCTTTGTTAAGCTTTTTAACAAAAGCTTTTAAGTCTTAAAAGAAATTCTTCATTCCTTAGTAATCCAGAAAAAAATAATATTTCACCAAGTGGAATTTTCTTATCCTGCCACTCAGAAAAATCTCTCTAAAGCTGTACATTAATGACATCCCAAATAGTTTAAGAAAAAAGGTTTACAGGCTGCATTATAGCTGTGAGCTTGATTGAAATCCCTCAACTCCCAGTCATGCAACTCATAAGCTAACTGCAAAAACTTCAGTTCCTGCAGTCTGTTCCCAAGGGTAACTGTCAAGAGTGCCAGTGAGTAATCTCACAATCTCACCTTTTTTTCCCAAGAGATTTTGCCAACCAATTTAGTTGCAATGCCATCGTCTCACTCCTTCGGGGATATCGCATTTGCCATGATTCCTCGCTGGAAGCCAGTTCGTTCCTTCCCATTGTGAGGGCTCTTCACATAGTACCTGGTTTTTACTGGTCCGTGAAAATGGATATAATTCAAATTTGTACCCAGCCTACTGTTTACCTTCCTTCAGAACTCTAATGGCATAATTGCAATTTATATACAGCTAGTCTTCATCTTCTGGGACCAGAATTTCTGTCATAAGTCATTGTGTCATAGGTTGAGTTGGATATGATTTTATAACAATTTAATGGTCATTGTTAAGCAAATCATTACAGTTAAGCGAATCCAGTTTCCCCAATGGATGATTTTTG